TTTATGATGAGTTAATTATAGAGATGTAACCCCATCGTAAGTCTAGGAACATTTGTATAGTGTTAGTGATACTGGGAACAATTAGCTATTAGGATGGTAAAACAAAACTGGATTCCTACATTCACAAAACAACTTCCAAGTGCATTAACACAATGTAGAAAGCAAAGCTGTAACAGTTTCAGAATTTAACACTGAAAATGTTCTCCTGACTTCTGAATAGGAGGACTTCTTTAAAAAGGTTTAAGGGGGGGGGGGGGCACAAACCATAAAGGAAAAGATTCGCAAGTTAGAACACATTTACAACTCCCATTCATCAAAGGTGCCATCACAAACTGAAACACAAGCAACAGATTGAGGAAAAAGTACTTGAAGCACATATGATCAACAAAGCACTAAAATCCAGGGTACAGAAGAAACCCCTAACAAGTTTTTTTTTAAAAAAAGAAAAAATTGACAAGAGGATGAACAGACATTTCACAGAAAGGGAAATTCAAACAGCCAATAATTACAAGGGTCCCTCAAAAAGCTCATGGAAAGTATAACTAAAGTTGAGTTAGCTACATGCAATTTGGAAATCTACATGTGGTTCTTTCTCAATATGCGTTTTCCATGAACTTTTTTGAAGACCTCTCATAGGTAGAGATTCTCAACCTCAGAGCACAAAATAACTTTAGACCCACCAATCTGACAAAAGAAAATTTTACTGGAACCATCAAGAGCTTGTGTGGATAAAGAACAGCAGAAACATCTCTACACCACAATGGCAGTGTCAGCATCAACACCGCGGAAGACAATCCGGTACGGAGAGGGGGATGGGGAGGAAATGAACAGCCTGTGGCTCAGCAGCTCCTCTTGGACATCCTAGAGAAGTATGCACCTGTGTGCGACAGGACACACGATGTGCTCAGAAAAGCAGCGGCTGTGATAGCACCCCCCAGAAACCCCCCAAGCATCACCTGCCAGAAAGAGGGCAAGTAGATGTGGGCTTCCTAGGAAGCTGTCTAAGATAGCTTAGGACCCAGTCGGTCCATGCGGAACTGCTGCATCAAGTAGGAAGAAGGAAGCAGATCCAAGCATGGAGAAAAGCACACTGCAGTCCAGGTACCGCAGAGGGTCTTCAGGTGTCCCACAGGGCTCTAGAACGGAAATGGATTGCCAGAGGGGCTGGTACTGTGGCGTAGTGGGCTAAGCCTCTGCCTATGGTGCCAGCATCTCATACGGGCACCAGCCTGTCCCAGCTGCTCCTCTTCCAACCCAGCTCTCTGCTATGGCCTGGGAAAAGCAGTGGAAGATGGCCCAAGTGCTTGGGCCCCTGCACCCACATGGGTGACCTAAAAGAAGCTAGTGGCTTCACACTGGCCCAGCTATAGGCATTGCAACCATCTGGGGCATGAACCAGCAAATGAAAGATTAAAAAAAAAAAAAAAAAGCTCTTGGGAACTAAAAATATGCTACAAAAAATTTTTATAAGAAGTCTCCAAAAATATCAATATTCTAATTGTAAGCTTGGTGGCACATATGTGGTTTTGATATTCTGTATTAGAGTTAACATGCTAAAATATTCTTGGGGCCGGCACTATGGCGCAGCGGGTTAAAGCCCTGGCCTGAGGTGCTGGCATCCCATATGGGCGCCGGTTCTAGTCCCAGCTGCTCCTCTTCCAATGCAGCTCTCTGCTGTGGCCTGGGAAAGCAGAAGATGGCCCAAGTCCATGGGCCCCTGCACCCACCTGGGAGACCTGGAAGAGGGTCTTGGCTTCAGAGTGGCGCAACTCCAGCCATCGTGGCCACCTGGGGAGTGACCCATTGGATGGAAGACCTCTCTGTCTCTGCCTCTCTGTAACTTTTTTTTTTTTTTTTTGACAGGCAGAGTGGACAGTGAGAGACAGAGACAGAGAGAAAGGTCTTCCTTTGCCGTTGGTTTACCCTCCAATGGCCGCCGCGGTCGGCGCGCTGCGGCCGGCGCACCACGCTGATCCGATGGCAGGAGCCAGGAGCCAGGTGCTTTTCCTGATCTCCCATGGGGTGCAGGGCCCAAGCACATGGGCCATCCTCCACTGCACTCCCGGGCCACAGCAGAGAGCTGGCCTGGAAGAGGGGCAACCGGGACAGAATCCGGCGCCCCGACCGGGACTAGAACCCGGTGTGCCGGCGCCGCTAGGCGGAGGATTAGCCTAGTGAGCCGCGGCGCCGGCCTCTCTGTAACTCTTTCAGATAAAAAATCTTTTAAAAAATTCCTTAATGTAATGCTTTAATTTTTTTTAATATTTATTTTTCATTTTATTTGAGAGGTAGAGATAGAGATCCTCCATCTGCTGGTTCACTCCCCAAATGCCTAGAACAGCTAGGGTTGGGCCAGGCCAAAGCCAGGAGCCAAGAACTCAGTCTGCACCTCTCATGTGGGTGACAGGGAGCAAGCACTGGAGCCATCACTGCCGCCTCCCCCAGTGCGTATTCGCAGGAGGCTGGAATCAGAAGCAGAGCCAAGACTCAGAGCCAGGCGCTCCAAAATGGGATGTGGGCATCCTCAACAGAACCTTCTTCCAAGTTCAACCAGAATCCAAAGGAGACGTCACAACCTAGTCTCCTTCTTGCTGGATCTCTTGTGGACTAAAATGCCCTCCCGCTAAGCACCAAATTCCCATGACTGATTTATCTCAGATCCCTGACCATTTTACCAGGCATGTGTTATATTTCACAAGAATTACTTAGCACCACTGAGACATCTGCAGTAGTATTTGTGTAAACACATTAAGGCTTCAGGGCATTTAACACCAGTTAAGACATCTTTCTCCCACATCAGAGTGCCTGGGTTTGAGTCCCAGCTCTGGTCGCAGCACTGGATTCCAGCTTCCTGCAGACCTTGGGTTGAAGCAAGGGAGTATATCAATGATGGTGCAGGTCATTGAGTCCCTGACACCGATGCAGAAGACCTGGATTAAGTTCTGGCTTCTGGCTTTTGCCAGGCTCAGCTTCAGTCACTGCAGGTATTGTAGTGAACTAGTGGATGTGGGCGGTCTCTCTTGTTCTCTCCATCTCTCAAATAATTGCTACAAATGTATCAGGGCTTCAAATTTAGAGAACTCAGGTGCAGAAAGGAGAGCTTATGATGCTTAATCGTAACATTTGAAAATCTGGGGCTTTGCAAGGAAAATTTGCACAAATGTGTGTAGTAATGGCTGTGCTGGAAATGAGACCGTATACCAGATTCCTCTACAGGGTAAACTAAGCTACAGGAGGAGAGGAAGTAACTGGTGTGGCTTTTTGGAGCCACCACCCACTGGTGATACTCAGCAGTAACAATTCTTTCCCTATAGCCGGACTAACACCTTGCCAAGGTGCTCTGAATGGGTCAAATATTACCATTATCCACAGGGCTAGTGAGTGTTTCCAGTAAGTTTACCGCCTGAGGGCCCAGCTTATCAGTTATTCAGTTGGAATGTCAATGCGCAAGTTCAAACTTCTTCACAGATGAGTGAAACATCCAAGGAAGCCAGGATCCAACAGAGTTGCACACAGCACTGAAGTGTGAGACTGACACTTCACACTTCTGCCTTCTCATCTGCAGGTATCTGCCATTTAGCAAAATTAGGTGGGAGTTTAGGAAAAGGACTCCTTTGTGGTAAAAAAAAAAATAGATTTGGAACTGCCTTCGTATTAAAAAAAAAAAAAAGCTTTTAGACATTCAGGAGAGTTCTAAAAATTATCTCCCCACCCCCAGGACAAAAAAAAAAAAAAAAAGCTTTCCTAATGATGGTACCAACAGCGGACTCAAGGGGTAAACTACAAACATATACAGCTCCTCATTTGCAACTAACAAGTAACACTCCAAGAAACCTAGATAATTTTGTGAAGTCCATCGGGTGGTGTGGAGCAGAAGATAGCAACGGAAAAGTCTCAGCAGAGTTTAAAGCACAGGAGTCAGACAGGGTAACCGGCCGCACCCCACCAGAGGAGCTCCTGTGTAGTCCAGAGTTTAAGGAAAAGTAGAAGAGGAAGCGGGCGCCAGCACACGCGGCAGACAGCTCCCGTGCGCAGGTGGGACTGCGCGGAATCTGCATTTTAGCCCTGAGAATGCCCAAGCACCCCACGGCAAACTCCGAAAGAAGAAACTGGGGAACCACACCGTTCCTCTTTTCAAGAGGCTCAAAGCTGCGAAAACCCGAAATCTGTCACTTCTCACTCCCTCGCCAGCAGGTGCAAAAAAAAAAAAGTCTCAACTGCTGGGAACGGGTCCAGTGCGCGCGCGCTGCAGAAGCTGGGCGGGAAGCCGAGCCTCCCCTGCGCTCTCCCCGCCCGCCGGCGGGCACAGGTGCGGGGCGCTGGGTGGCTGCGGATTATGGCTCACTGCCTGCCGCCGCCTGAGGCTGGCCGTGCGCTCCCCTCCGTAGATCCCGGACGCCCGTCTCACTGACTGCAAACTTCTCTTTAAAAAAGAAAGGAAGAAAAAGCTGAGAAATCACAGAGTTCCCCTTCTTCCATGTAGATCGGTGCAAGCAAGGCCTAACAGCCACAGTTTGGGCTACACATTGTGTAACTGTCCTATTTATGGGGCTGGCGGCCACAACTCATCTCTCCTCTCCAAAAACGCACCACCTCCGGGAAGCCCTCGTCTCGGCAGAGCGCCTCCCCCGCTGCTGAGAGCTTTCCTGGGCACCTAAGAGGCGGCCCAAACGTGGGCGACGACCCTCCCCCGCCCGGGGTGGGGGTGATGCCCAGAGCACCGCGGTGCCCCCGGGCTTTCTGCTAAGGGTCATTGAGTGAGGCACAAGCCGGCCAGGAGCTGGAAGACTCGCGGGCAGAGGCGGAGCAGCCCTCTGTACCACCTGGCCCGAGCTCTGCCCACTGAGTCCTTCACCCGGCAGTCAGGACTCCATAGAGCGACGCTCACCCCCTTGGCCCTCACCAGGCTGCTCGGGGTCGGGCCCGGGCCCCCACCCCCGGGTCTCAGGGAATCTGACTCCAAGCCCCGCCCGCCCGCACCCAGACGCGCGCCTCTGCACCTGCGCCGTCGCCGGCCCCCGCGTGGTGCGCCCTCAGCCAGGGGAGCACGTCCTTCCTGAGGTCAAAGTCGGCGACCAGACGCAGCGCCATCGCCGGGACGTGGCCTCCGGGCGGCTCCGAGGCCGCTAGCTGCGGACATTCCGGGCCCGCGCCACGACCTCGCCGTCGCCCCGCGCCCGCCCCTCCTTCCTCTCCCCGCCTCCCCGGGCCGCCGCTACTTTCGCTTCTGCGGCGTCCGGGCCTCGGAGGCCCCCGAGCACCGCCTCCTCCGGGCGGGCGGCCGAAAGCGAGCCCTCCGAGCTCGGGTGGGCTTAGGGGTGCTGGCGATGTGGCGCGGCTGGCGGCTTCTAAGCTTGCCTGTTGAAGGTGAGCTTGTTTTATTGTTGTACATGCCCGGGGATTCCGCTGTGCGGCCAAGTTCGCAGGCCACCTGGCTGGAGGCCACAGAATCGCCCAAGGAGGAAGGGTCAGGGTCGAGGTTCCGGCAGAGGCAGGTGGCATCTTGGGCCTGTGCGTCCCGCCCTCGGCAAGAGGTTAGGGGCTGCCTTGTTAGTGTTTTCTGTAACTAGCAGCAGTTGGAGCGCGAGAAAAGGGTGATTCTCTTCTGAGCCACTGGAGTTAATCGGTTTAACACAAACAGGGCCCTCTTGGCCTCTTAATTCCCTAGGCTCTTTAAGGAAGCTGAATTGCTAGGATTCCTTAAAGAAGTGCAGTCCCCTGCAACAGCTGCCACCTGCAGCGCCGCCATCCCATATGGGCGCAGGTTTGAGTCCTGGCTGCTCCACTTCCAACCCAGCTCCCTGCTAAGGGCCCAGGAAAAGCAGCGGAAGATGGCCCACCTGCTTGGGGCCCTGCACTCAGGTGGGAGGCTCAAGTGAAGCTTGGACCTGGCCCAGCCTTGACCATTGCAGCCATCTGGGGAATGAACCAGCAGATGGAAGATATCTCTCCCCTCTCTCTAAGTCCTGTCATGCTGAATGCTTCCTCACCCCTCTCCTCTCCATACACAAAAGTTGGGTGCCACCCCCTCATGTCTGAGGCACACACACACCATGGGCAGGCCTGTTGGTCATTATGCCTTTGGTATTGCCAGGTCCAATCCATCCGGTCCATACCAAGTTACCACCCTCCCTAAGCTAAGCTCTGCTCAGGTTTCTATGCAGAAATTCTTAAGGCTCCCTGCCCCTTCAACCTTGGCCCCTAGAGATTCAAATCCAGGTTGACCTGGCTCATAGAATGCCTGATTCCACCTAGAAAAATCTATAAGTCCTTCAAGCCAACTGCACACACACACACACACACACACACAGTGACCTTCCCAACCCTAAACTCCTCCAGTGGCTTTGCTGGCCCACCTCATCTGGCATACGCTGTCACAGATGGAGCTGTGACCACCAGGCTGACAGAGTGCCCTGGTTAGTGATGAGAGTAAACACAGCAACAGACTGAAGGCTGGTTATCCCCATATCTCTCAAAGTTAAGATCTGAAAACTCCCTGCACTGGTGTCACCTGGCGCATTCGTGATTTTAAGTCAGACTCCTGGTTCTAGTCTAGACTTTGACAAGGCCCAGAAAGGTGCGTGTCAGCCAGTGCCTCTGGGCTGCGGCCAGCCTCAGTTTGAAAACTACATGAATGAAAAAGAAAGTCTGGGTTTCCCCTGGAGGCCTGCTGCTGCTGCTGCAGCTCAGGGGGTGGGGTAGTTTCAGTTGAAACTCCACTGCTCCCTGCCACATACAGAAAGGAGAATCCTCCCCCTGAGTCATTCAAATGTGCACAGTGAAGCTGCTAGTTTTGCCTGCAATGGAAAGGGAAGCCCCTGAAACCACGAGGGAGGGGCTACTGCAACTCAGGAAGCTTCTTGGTCACACGGAAACATTCTCACCTGCCAGTTTTAGACATTAACTTTCTATGGTTTTTATTCTTGTGGGTAATTTCTACTTTTACCAAGCAGTGATGATAGAAAAATGTTCTTCAAAATATATCTGAGTTAAAAGATTAATGTTGAGCTGAGACATAGTGACCAAGAGAGCAGAAAACTGTGGCCACAATCATGAGGTTGCAATGTGAATGACTGAATTGAGCTATTAGAAGAGGTTGATGAAGGGTTAACAGAATGCAGATGGATCTCTAGAGACTATCATTTCGTCTGTATTAAAAAAGCTGCCTTCAGGGCTGGCCTGTGGTATAGTGCGTGGTATAGTGGGTGAAGCCACTGCCTTCATTGCCAGCATCTCATATGGGTGCCAGTTCGAATCCCTGCTGCTCCACTTCCGATCCAGCCATCTGCTATGGCCTGGGAAAGCAGTAGAAGATGGCCCAAGACTTTGGGCCCCTGCACCTGCATGGAAAGACTTGGAGGAAGCTCCTGGCTCCTGGTTTTGGGGAAGATCCAGAGGAAGCTCCTAGTTCCTGGCTCCTGGCTTTGGATCGGCGCAGCTCCGGCCTTTGCAGCCAATTGAGAGTAAACCAGTGGATGGAAGACCTCTCTCCATCTCTGTTTCTGCTTCTCTCTGTGTAACTCTGACTTTCAAGTAAATAAATAAATCTTTAAAAAAAAAAAAAAAAAACTGCTTTGGGGCTGGTGTTGGGGCACAAGGGGTTAAGCTGCCACTTTGCAGTACCAGCATTTATATCAGCAGGCCCGGGAATCCTGGCTGCTCTGCTTCCAATCCAGCTTCCTGTTAATGTACCTGGGAAGGCAGCTGATGATGGCCCAAGTACTTAAGTGGTGTTACTGGCTCCTGGCTTCGGCCTGGCCCAGCCGCAGCGTTTTCTGCCACTTGGGGAGTGAACCTGTGGATAAAAGATTTCTCTTGCTCTTCCTCTTTCTAACTCTAACCTTCAAATAAATAAATCTTTTAAAAAGAAGAAACCATTATCTTCCTTTTTTTTTTTTTTTTTTTTTGGACAGGCAGAGTGGACAGTGAGAGAGAAACAGAGAGAAAGGTCTTCCTTTGCCGTTGGTTCACCCTCCAATGGCCGCCGTAGCCGGCACACTGTGGCCGGTGCACCGCGCTGATCCGATGGCAGGAGCCAGGTACTTATCCTGGTCTCCCATGGGGTGCAGGGCCCAAGTACTTGGGCCATCCTCCACTGTACTCCCTGGCCACAGCAGAGAGCTGGCCTGGAAGAGGGGCAACCGGGACAGAATCCGGCGCCCCGACCGGGACTAGAACCCGGTGTGCCGGCGCCGCTAGGTGGAGGATTAGCCTAGTGAACCGTGGCACCGGCAACATTATCTTCCTTAAATTCAGAGTTTACAATAGAGTGGGAAAACAAAGGATCTTATCATCAAGGCCCTGCTCAAAAAGACCCCCAAAAGGGGTAAAGGTGGTTAACCACCAAGCTGCCGCTTCCTGCCACAGGTGTTTGTATTGACAAAATCCACTGGGCTGAATTGGAGGACTCTCAGATTGCCTTCTTGCCTGAAGGTCTCCTGTTACTCAAATACCACACCCTGATGGGTGCAGAATTCTGGGACCAGAATAAAAAGTGACAATGCTTGGATCTTACTGTTTTCTCAAAATGGTGTAGATCCTTTGTCATTTTATCTTGATTTTTTAGATTTGAAAGAATTGGAAATGTGGTTGAGTGAAGCGTTTAAACACAGAAGATAGTTTACTTGACAGAGATGTGAAAATGGAATCAAAAGTCAAATCATAAAGTTTCTAAGGCAGAACTGATGATATTTGAAGCTTGCACTGAATGGGACACTAAGGTGGTAAAGAACATTTTGATTAATAAACTAGTGTATTGAAATTGGGTAGAGGCCTGCGCCGCGACGCACTTGGCTAATCCTCCGCCTGTGGCGCGGGCACCCCAGATTCTGTCCCGGTTGCTCCTCTTCCAGTCCAGCTCTCTGCTGTGGCCCAGGAAGGCAGTGCAGGATGGCCCAAGTGCTCAGGCCTTGCACCCACATGGGAGACCAGAAGGAAGTACCTGGCTCCTGGCTTTGGATTGGCGTAGCTCCAGCCGTAGTGGCCATTTTGGGGAGTGAACCAATGGAAGGAAGACCTTTCTCTCTGTCTCTCTCACTGTCTAACTCTGCCTGTCAAAAAAATATATATATAGAAATTGGGTAGAAGCACGGGCTAGCCCTGTGGCGTGGGCTAAATCTCCACCTGCAGCACCAGAATCCCGTATGGGTCCCAGCTGCTATTCTTCCGATCCAGCTCTCTGCTATGTCCTGCGCCCGCGTGGGAGACCTTGAAGAAACTCCTGGCTCCTGGCTTCAGATCGGCACAGCTCTAGCCGTTGCGGCCATTTGAGGAGTGAACCAGCAGATGGAAGACCTCTCTCTCTCTCTCTACCTCTCTCTGTAACTCTATCTCTCAAATAAATACATAAAATAATTAAAAAAAAAAAAAGAAAGAAAGAAATTGGGTAGAAGCAAATCAACTGGAAAGCAATTTTTGTATTTCTGGCAGTCCTTTCAAAGGACAGCCAAGAATTGTATTCTTGAATTTAATAGGAATTACCCCCAAAAAAACCTGTTAGGATCCAAGTGATAAATAATAAGCAGAGCTCCTCTGCACTTCCCAGGAAAAATAATTATCTCAGATTTTGTAACAAAAACACAATGCTTAGTAACTTATCTTTGGTGGAAATATATATATATATTTTTTTTTTTTTTTTGGACAGAGTGGACAGTGAGAGAGAGACAGAGAGAAAGGTCTTCCTTTGCCGTTGGTTCACCCTCCAATGGCCGCCGTAGCCGGCACACTGTGCTGATCTGAAGCCAAGAGCCAGGTGCTTATCCTGGTCTCCCATGGGGTGCAGGGCCCAAGCACTTGGGCCATCCTCCACTGCACTCCCGGGCCACAGCAGAGAACTGGCCTGGAAGAGGGGCAACCGGGACAGAATCTGGTGCCCTGACCGGGACTAGAACCAGGTGTGCCGGTGCCACAGGCAGAGGATTAGCCTAGTGAGCCGCAGTGCTGGCCAAATACTTATATTTTAAAAGAAATAAGTATTTCATATGGTGCTCACTATGGCTGCCCTGATTCAATTGGCTCTCCAGGTAGGTAGTAATAGTTTTCCCTTCCTAGTGATTGATTTTGGAATGGGCATATGCATTGTGTAGAATTGGCTCCACCAGAAGTTAATGAAAACCAAAGTTAACAGTAAATTAAACACACCGGCTTTCACTCTTTACCCATCTAGAGATGAGCAGTCCAAAGCTCACAGGGCAGATCCCTGACATCATCAGTGACCCAGCTGCCCTCCAACAGTTT